CGGGCAGGGCGCGGGCAGGGGTGGGGCGTGCAGAGCAGACCGAGAGGAGGCGCCCGCGGGGCCCTGCAGACCCGGGCAGGTGGCACCGTGGGAGGCCACACGGGCCCTCAGCCGGAAAGGGACAGACGCGAGGAGGGGGGGCAGGGCGGGGCCAAGAGACACCCCGTCCCCCAAAAGGGGACACCGAGGCAGGGTGGCAGGATGGGGAGCCCCCACACAGAGACAGAGCCAGGAGGGAGACATGGAGGCCAGGACCTGGGGGGTCTCGGAGAAGGGGTACGCCAGGGCATCTTTCTCCAGGAGACAGAGGGTGAGAGAGCCGGACACCAGGCACAGCCCGGCGGCCAGTGGGGGCCTCTGCACCGGGCTCTGGGCTCTGCCCTCTGTGCGCGCTGGGTCTCCCCCATCTGTGAAACGGGGGCAGCCTGAGCCAGAGCCCCAGGGGCACAGAGCCAGCTCAGCCCCACAGCGTGCCTGGCTGGTAGCTGCCAGCCCAGGCTGCTGGGCTTTTGTCCACAGGGACAGAAAAGGAGGCTGCCCCCAGGGGTGCCGTGGCGCAGTGTGGGCACCCTCAGGCGCTGGGCCGGGAGCCCGGGACCCCGGCCCCGGGTGGGGGCCCTGTGCAGGCCTGGAGGTGCAGGGAGGCACGTGCTCGGGGGTGCATGGGGGCAGAGGCCTGGGGGGCGGCAGCAGGCACCCAGCCCCGAGCCCCTGGGGGATGCACACGACCACGGCCAGGCCTTGCAAAGGCCACCTGCAGATGCGCTCCTGGCCCCGTGGCCGGGGCTCGGGCCCTCCCCTCGGGACACAGCTCAGGTTCCCGGGAGGTGAGGTCACAGCCCTTCACGGTGGGATATGACCTCATCCCCTCAGGTGGAGCTCCCTCCGGCCTGGGGCCACCCCTTGCAGGGCCCCCCAGGGGCCGCCCCAAGCCCCGAAGCTGGGACCCAGGCCTCTGACCATGGGTCTCCGCCCCTCAGGGGGCCTGTTTCCGGCTGAGTCAGCCTGGGGGGCCCAAGGCTGCGTCAGTGAGGGGAGAACTGACGTAGCCCCCCCCACTGGCGGGCCAGCCAAGGTGACTCAGGCCACCGGCCTGGGGGATGGACTGGCCTAGGGGGCCGGGGGGACTGGGCCTGGGGCCAGCCTGAGGGCAAGATAGCCATCCAGAGTGGCAGCCCCGCCACCTACAGGGACCAGGCTGCCACCCACTGCCTGCTGCAACCAAGAGTCCAGCCCCTCCCCCTCAGACCCTGGGGGTCCAGCCCCAGCCCTCCCCCTCAAATCCAGGGTGTCCAGCCCCAGTCCCTCGACCAGGGGTCCAGCCCCAACCCCTCCCCCTCAGACCTGGGTGTCCAGGTCCCAGCCCTCCCCCTCACACCCAGGGGTCCAGGCCCCAGCCCCTCCATCACACCCAGGGAGGTCCAGGCCCCAGCCCCTCCCCCTCAGAACTGGGGGTCCAGCCCCAGCCCCTCCCCCTCAGACCCAGGGGTCCAGCCCGAGCCTCTCCCCTTCAGACCAGGAGTCCAGGACCCAGCCCCTCCCCCTCAGACTGGGGGTCCAGGCCCCAGCCCCTCCTCCTCAGAACTGGGGGTCCAGCCCCAGCCCCTCCCCCTCAGACCCAGGGGTCCAGCCCCAGCCTCTCCCCTTCAGACCAGGAGTCCAGGCCCCAGCCCCTCCTCCTCAGACTGGGGGTCCAGGCCCCAGCCCCTCCCCTCAGACTGGGGGTCCAGGCCCCAGCCCCTCCCCCTCAGACCGGGGGTCCAGGCCCCAGCCCCTCCCCCTCAGACCGGGGGTCCAGCCCCAGCCCCTCCCCCTCAGACCCAGGGGTCCAGCCCCAGCCCCTCCCCCTCAGACCCAGGGGTCCAGCCCCAGCCCCTCCCCCTCAGACCCAGGGGTCCAGGACCCACAGCCCCTCCATCACACCCAGGGAGGTTCTAGGCCCCAACCTCTTCCCTGACCTGGGGTCCAGGCCCCCATTCGCCTCATACGTGAGGTGTGAGGTGTCCAGTCCCTGAACCCTGGTTTCTAGAAAGCAGAAAACCAGAATCAAACGTGTATCCACTCTGCAATCTGGGGTGCCATGTGGGGAACGCCAGGGGTGTGGGGTCGGGGCCTGGACGAGGCAGCTCCTGACCCTGGACAGCTCTTGCCCTTGTACTGTGGGGTGATTGCCGCACTCTGGCAGCAGCAGGTGAGGGAGGTGGGCAGGTGGCGGGCAGGAGACTGGTGGCTTGGGGCTCGGGGTTCTCCCTGGAGTGGGGGCACCGCAGTGACATCTGTGGAAAGACGGACACGGATGAGGGGGCCACGGGGCATGCCCGAGCCCAAGGGTACAGTAGCACCCGCACCCGCGCCCACAGAGACCAGGGACATGGGCTGGGGGCCCCCACGAGGATGGGGGCGGGAACCCTGCTCTGAGTAGTCACTGACCGTCGGGAGCTGCCACTGTCATGGGGACCCCAGGGGGTCCTTGCTCATGTGCTGCCCCCCTGCGAGGTGTGACTGGCCGGGTGTGAGGTCAGCAGGTCCTAGACTGTGTGTGTCCGTCTGTCTGTCCCTGGGGGGTCCTGTCTGGCCTCTGGGGGGTGACGGGGCAGGCCGGCCGCAGCGGCTGCCCAAACCTGTCATTAGTGGTGAGGGCCATGACGGCGCCCCCCCCAGCCCCAGCAGCCCCAAGGCGGGCAGCCCCGCCCCCCACCCCCTCCTTGATCCCAGAGGAATCCCCGGAATTGGGAAGCGGGTCCAGATGATGTTGACACAGGAAACAGTCAGCAGCTGCCCGGCCTCAGCCCCGCAACCCCGCTGACCCCACCTCTGGCCCCCTGCCGAGCCGACCTGGAGCCTCTCAGAGGAGGCAGTGCAGAGGCCGGCAGATGTTTACAGCATAGTGGCCCGGTCTGGACGGGGCGCAGGCGCCCCCACCCTCCGGCACTCTCGGGGGTCCTTGCCCGTGCCCTCCAGTGCAGCCGCAGCCCCAGCCCAGGGCTCCCTCCCCTGGCCGGGCTGGGCGGGTGGAGCGGGCAGGGCGGCTTTCCCAACCTGCTCCCCAGCTGGGCCTCCTCCCTCGCGGGACGCGCAGCCCCCAGCTAGGGTTCCTTCCCCTTTGGGGAAACTGAGGCCGTGACGGACCCTCCTACCCGGGAGTCACTGTGGCCACCCTGGCGCTGTGCCCTGGGGTCCCCAGATGGGGGCCTGGTGGTCCCGGGGGCAGGAGGGGACTCAGGAGCCAGAGCCCTGGCCTACGCCCCCCAGGCCAGCCGGTTGCTAGGGGCCCCCCCAACAATGGGGCTCAGTGAGGCTTCTGTGCCCCCCAGCCCGGTGCTGGGCAGATGCCCTAGCAGCCAGGGCTCGAGCCGCCGGCCGCACAGCCGCTCCCAGGGCCCAGGCCGAGTCTGGGCGCCCACGGGTGCCCCCCCCTGCCCAGGGCCCCTTCCTTCTGGTTGCTGAGGAAGCCAGTCCCAGGCAGCCGGCGCCCGGCCAGCGTGACCCTGCGCCTCCCTGCTGAGGGGCTCCCCAGCAACGGAACTCGGAACCTGGGGCAGGGGCTGTTGCTGGGAGGGGCCCGCCCTCCCCACACAGGGCCCTGGGCTCTGGGCAGCAGCATGGTGGGCTCTGGGGTCCCGGCTTTGGGCCTTCTCCTGCTCATGCAGGGCTCAGTAGGTAAGGGCTGCCGGGCACGGGGTGCGGAGGCTGCCGTGGCCCCCACACAGCCCCAACAGCACCCCTTCTCCTTCACAGATGGGAACGGGATCCAGGGATTCTTCTATCCATGGAGTGAGCGGGACAAACCGGGGCTGAGGGGCAGACCAGCAGACTAGGCCCTGGGGACCTGGGGAGGGCAGGACTCCCTTAGGCAAAGTGGGGGGCCAGTTTCCTTAGGTCCCAGGGAGAGGCTGGGACTCCCGGGGGGGCTGAGAGGGGCCTGGACCCCCTTGGGTCCCAGGGAGGGGCCGGGCC